CGATCTTAGTAATTAAAATGAAAAATAACTCCTCTCGTTATAAATTGTTTGATGATAGGAACGTTTTTTTTTTAAATCATCATCTTTTGGAAATTCCTTATCCATTGAGACCTAAAAGACTTGAAAGAGATAATGTTTAATGTAAAATGGTAACAATTCAAGGGTGCTACTTTTAGAACCGTCTATGTTCCAAAAAGTCTCCTTTCATGTTAAGTTGTATGTTCAAAAATAATTTATAAAAAACCCCATTTGAAGATTTGTGTTGATGTTAAACATGCAGTTAAGGTAACAGATATGTAGATGGGCATTTTCATGGATTTTTATGATACTTTCTACAATACTTTTTGAAATCATATTAAGAGGTTAAATTGATATTATACTTACATAAACTGAAGCTTGGTGTTGGACGAAAACAATTCTGGTGGTAAACTGCTTAAAATATTGGAATTCAAAATTCTGGAAAACATTTTGAATGGTTTGTGTTTGATTAGGGTCTATGAAACACTGATAACTTAACTAAGTACGAGCTCATTAGGCGATCATACTGTTTGTTTGAGATAAATTATTTCTCTGTTTTTTAATACTAGTAATCTGATTTATTTCAGATTTTTTCTCAAAATATACTATTTAAATGTAAGACCTTCTGCACTTCATGCTGTTTAAATACATTGAATTACTTTTAATCACAAACAAACAAGTTATCTAATAGCCTATTTCCCAACGGAATATAAATTCATTTGATCTAGAAAACTCAAATACCTGAAAAAATATCAATGATTGATGGTGAAAAATAAGATATGTTTTAGTTGAAACAATTCATACTTAATCCACTTATCAATTTCGTACGATGAACATTATTTCACTTTTCATTTTAGAAATATTTGTTCGATGACAGAAGTAGATTTATCTACCAAAATAATCATTAACGTATGTACTACTGCTAAAAGAAAAATCTTTACATTTATATGCTGGAGATATAAAATTGTTGAAAGTGTTAAAACTTTTACTGTCAAAATTTGGAAACCTGAGTATAAAGAATAATAAATTTTAAAGCCAATCATGTATGAACATGATATATAAGTATTACCATTTTTACATTAAGATTTTTTTTAAGCAATATGACAAAAATAGACTGTGGTTGTCGTTTGTCGATGGGATTCATAAATGTTTCTCGTTTTTTATATAGATTAGGCCGTTGGTTTTCCTGTTTGAATGGTTTTACACTAGTCATTTTACGGGCTCTTTATAGCTTGCTGTTCGGTGTGAGCCAAGGCTCCGTGTTGAAGACCGTACTTTGACCAATAATGGTTTACTTTTGCAAATTGTGGTAACTTGGAAGGAAATTTGTCTCATTAGCACTCATACCACATCTTCTTAAATCTATGAAAAAGAATTAAAAAAGTTATCTAGAGGTCACTTTACCTGAGGGATTTGGAGCCTACACATCTAAATAATTTCTAAATTTTAACAATAGGGAATCTAAACATAAAACAATATAAATACTATCAAAGATCTAACTGCTGAGCTGATGATACTCTTGATGATAATGATTGATTGATTGTTGGTGTTTCAATGCCACATTTAAGCGCTACTTTTGGGCTATTTCGTGGCGGTCAGTTTTTTTTATGGTAGAAGGAAGCTGGAGTGCCCGGAGAAAACCATCGACCTTCGATAGAAAAACTGACAATTCTAGTCAATTAAGATTGGAGTCGAGTGTACCCGCACGAGCGGGATTCGTACTCACAACCTTAGTGTTGACTGGCTGGTGATTACAGTAGTGAAACCACTTAGACCACTTGGCCACGAGGCCCCTCTTGATTATAATAAAGGTAATATGTAGAAACATTGATTGTATTACAGGACCGACTAACTGAGGCTCATCTTTATACTTGCTAGCTTTCTTAGTCACAATCCAAAGACTTATCATCTCAATCAGACACATTGTTCTTATTCCAAACTAACTAGTATTTAGTATAATTCCGTAATACGACTTTTGTGGCGGACAAACAGCTTAATCAATTATAATTCCCTTATAAGATGTCTCCGTCTGGGACAAAAAAGACGAAATATGTCACTTGAGGTGAGCACGAAATTAGTGAATAACAAATATCATTTGAAGCTATACTAAAAATTAAATAAAGTTAAGTATACAGTAAACTTAAATAGACTCCAGGTTTATGTTTGTGGAAAACAACTCTACTGGTAAGCTGCTTAACACATTGTCAAAAAGAAGTCTGGAAAAAAAATGATTTGTTTTAAAATAAGTTCATTTCAATTCTAACAAATTGTAAAATTCAACGTGTAAGGCGATCTTAGTAATTAAAATGAAAAAATAACTCCTCTCGTTATAAATTGTTTGATGATAGGAACGTTTTTTTTTTAAATCATCATCTTTTGGAAATTCCTTATCCATTGAGACCTAAAAGACTTGAAAGAGATAATGTTTAATGTAAAATGGTAACAATTCAAGGGTGCTACTTTTAGAACCGTCTATGTTCCAAAAAGTCTCCTTTCATGTTAAGTTGTATGTTCAAAAATAAATTATAAAAAAACCCATTTGAAGATTTGTGTTGTTGTTAAACATGCAGTTAAGGTAACAGATATGTAGATGGGCATTTTCATGGATTTTTATGATACTTTCTACAATACTTTTTGAAATCATATTAAGAGGTTAAATTGATATTATACTTACATAGACTGAAGATTGGTGTTGGACGAAAACAATTCTGGTGGTAAACTGCTTAAAATATTGGAACCCAAATTTCTGGAAAACATTTTGAATGGTTTGTGTTTGATTAGGGTCTATGAAAAACACTGATAACTTAACTAAGTACGAGCTCATAAGGCGATCATACTGTTTGTTTGAGATAAATTATTTCTCTGTTTTTTTATACTAGTAATCTGATTTATTTCAGATTTTTTCTCAAAATATACTATTTAAATGTAAGACCTTCTGCACTTCATGCTGTTTAAATACATTGAATTACTTTTAATCACAAACAAACAAGTTATCTAATAGCCTATTTCCCAACGGAATATAAATTCATTTGATCTAGAAAACACAAATACCTGAAAAAATATCAATGATTGATGGTGAAAAATAAGATATGTTTTAGTTGAAACAATTCATACTTAATCCACTTATCAATTTCGTACGATGAACATTATTTCACTTTTCATTTTAGAAATATTTGTTCGATGACAGAAGTAGATTTATCTACCAAAATAATCATTAACGTATGTACTACTGCTAAAAGAAAAATCTTTACATTTATATGCCGGAGATATAAAATTGTTGAAAGTGTTAAAACTTTTACTGTCAAAATTTGGAAACCTGAGTATAAAGAATAATAAATTTTAAAGCCAATCATGTATGAACATGATATATAAGTATTACCATTTTAACATTAAGATTTTTTTTAAGCAATATGACAAAAATAGACTGTGGTTGTCGTTTGTCGATGGGATTCATAAATGTTTCTCGTTTTTTATATAGATTAGGCCGTTGGTTTTCCTGTTTGAATGGTTTTACACTAGTCATTTTACGGGCTCTTTATAGCTTGCTGTTCGGTGTGAGCCAAGGCTCCGTGTTGAAGACCGTACTTTGACCAATAATGGTTTACTTTTGCAAATTGTGGTAACTTGGAAGGAAATTTGTCTCATTAGCACTCATACCACATCTTCTTAAATCTATGAAAAAGAATTAAAAAAGTTATCTAGAGGTCACTTTACCTGAGGGATTTGGAGCCTACACATCTAAATAATTTCTAAATTTTAACAATAGGGAATCTAAACATAAAACAATATAAATACTATCAAAGATCTAACTGCTGAGCTGATGATACTCTTGATGATAATGATTGATTGATTGTTGGTGTTTTAATGCCACATTTAAGCGCTACTTTTGGGCTATTTCGTGGCGGTCAGTTTTTTTATGGTAGAAGGAAGCTGGAGTGCCCGGAGAAAACCACCGACCTTCGATAGAAAAACTGACAATTCTAGTCAATTAAGATTGGAGTCGAGTGTACCCGCACGAGCGGGATTCGTACTCACAACCTTAGTGTTGACTGGCTGGTGATTACAGTAGTGAAACCACTTAGACCACTTGGCCACGAGGCCCCTCTTGATTATAATAAAGGTAATATGTAGAAACATTGATTGTATTACAGGACCGACTAACTGAGGCTCATCTTTATACTTGCTAGCTTTCTTAGTCACAATCCAAAGACTTATCATCTCAATCAGACACATTGTTCTTATTCCAAACTAACTAGTATTTAGTATAATTCCGTAATACGACTTTTGTGGCGGACAAACAGCTTAATCAATTATAATTCCCTTATAAGATGTCTCCGTCTGGGACAAAAAAGACGAAATATGTCACTTGAGGTGAGCACGAAATTAGTGAATAACAAATTTCATTTGAAGCTATACTAAAAATTAAATAAAGTTAAGTATACAGTAAACTTAAATAGACTCCAGGTTTATGTTTGTGGAAAACAACTCTACTGGTAAGCTGCTTAAAACATTGTCAAAAAGAAGTCTGGAAAAAAAATGATTTGTTTTAAAATAAGTTCATTTCAATTCTAACAAATTGTAAAATTCAACGTGTAAGGCGATCTTAGTAATTAAAATGAAAAATAACTCCTCTCGTTATAAATTGTTTGATGATAGGAACGTTTTTTTTTTAAATCATCATCTTTTGGAAATTCCTTATCCATTGAGACCTAAAAGACTTGAAAGAGATAATGTTTAATGTAAAATGGTAACAATTCAAGGGTGCTACTTTTAGAACCGTCTATGTTCCAAAAAGTCTCCTTTCATGTTAAGTTGTATGTTCAAAAATAAATTATAAAAAAACCCATTTGAAGATTTGTGTTGTTGTTAAACATGCAGTTAAGGTAACAGATATGTAGATGGGCATTTTCATGGATTTTTATGATACTTTCTACAATACTTTTTGAAATCATATTAAGAGGTTAAATTGATATTATACTTACATAAACTGAAGCTTGGTGTTGGACGAAAACAATTCTGATGGTAAACTGCTTAAAATATTGGAATCCAAATTTCTGGAAAACATTTTGAATGGTTTGTGTTTGATTAGGGTCTATGAAACACTGATAACTTAACTAAGTACGAGCTCATAAGGCGATCATACTGTTTGTTTGAGATAAATTATTTCTCTGTTTTTTTATACTAGTAATCTGATTTATTTCAGATTTTTTCTCAAAATATACTATTTAAATGTAAGACCTTCTGCACTTCATGCTGTTTAAATACATTGAATTACTTTTAATCACAAACAAACAAGTTATTTAATAGCCTATTTCCCAACGGAATATAAATTCATTTGATCTAGAAAACTCAAATACCTGAAAAAATATCAATGATTGATGGTGAAAAATAAGATATGTTTTAGTTGAAACAATTCATACTTAATCCACTTATCAATTTCGTACGATGAACATTATTTCACTTTTCATTTTAGAAATATTTGTTCGATGACAGAAGTAGATTTATCTACCAAAATAATCATTAACGTATGTACTACTGCTAAAAGAAAAATCTTTACATTTATATGCCGGAGATATAAAATTGTTGAAAGTGTTAAAACTTTTACTGTCAAAATTTGGAAACCTGAGTATAAAGAATAATAAATTTTAAAGCCAATCATGTATGAACATGATATATAAGTATTACCATTTTTACATTAAGATTTTTTTTAAGCAATATGACAAAAATAGACTGTGGTTGTCGTTTGTCGATGGGGTTCATAAATGTTTCTCGTTTTTTATATAGATTAGGCCGTTGGTTTTCCTGTTTGAATGGTTTTACACTAGTCATTTTACGGGCTCTTTATGGCTTGCTGTTCGGTGTGAGCCAAGGCTCCGTGTTGAAGACCGTACTTAGACCAATAATGGTTTACTTTTGCAAATTGTGGTAACTTGGATAAAATTTGTCTCATTAGCACTCATACCACATCTTCTTAAATCTATGAAAAAGAATTAAAAAAGTTATCTAGAGGTCACTTTACCTGAGGGATTTGGAGCCTACACATCTAAATAATTTCTAAATTTTAACAATACGGAATCTAAACATAAAACAATATAAATACTATCAAAGATCTAACTGCTGAGCTGATGATACTCTTGATGATAATGATTGATTGATTGTTGGTGTTTCAATGCCACATTTAAGCGCTACTTTTGGGCTATTTCGTGGCGGTCAGTTTTTTTTATGGTAGAAGGAAGCTGGAGTGCCCGGAGAAAACCACCGACCTTCGATAGAAAAACTGACAATTCTAGTCAATTAAGATTGGAGTCGAGTGTACCCGCACGAGCGGGATTCGTACTCACAACCTTAGTGTTGACTGGCTGGTGATTACAGTAGTGAAACCACTTAGACCACTTGGCCACGAGGCCCCTCTTGATTATAATAAAGGTAATATGTAGAAACATTGATTGTATTACAGGACCGACTAACTGAGGCTCATCTTTATACTTGCTAGCTTTCTTAGTCACAATCCAAAGACTTATCATCTCAATCAGACACATTGTTCTTATTCCAAACTAACTAGTATTTAGTATAATTCCGTAATACGACTTTTGTGGCGGACAAACAGCTTAATCAATTATAATTCCCTTATAAGATGTCTCCGTCTGGGACAAAAAAGACGAAATATGTCACTTGAGGTGAGTACGAAATTAGTGAATAACAAATTTCATTTGAAGCTATACTAAAAATTAAATAAAGTTAAGTATACAGTAAACTTAAATAGACTCCAGGTTTATGTTTGTGGAAAACAACTCTACTGGTAAGCTGCTTAAAACATTGTCAAAAAGAAGTCTGGAAAAAAAATGATTTGTTTTAAAATAAGTTCATTTCAATTCTAACAAATTGTAAAATTCAACGTGTAAGGCGATCTTAGTAATTAAAATGAAAAATAACTCCTCTCGTTATAAATTGTTTGATGATAGGAACGTTTTTTTTTTAAATCATCATCTTTTGGAAATTCCTTATCCATTGAGACCTAAAAGACTTGAAAGAGATAATGTTTAATGTAAAATGGTAACAATTCAAGGGTGCTACTTTTAGAACCGTCTATGTTCCAAAAAGTCTCCTTTCATGTTAAGTTGTATGTTCAAAAATAAATTATAAAAAAACCCATTTGAAGATTTGTGTTGTTGTTAAACATGCAGTTAAGGTAACAGATATGTAGATGGGCATTTTCATGGATTTTTATGATACTTTCTACAATACTTTTTGAAATCATATTAAGAGGTTAAATTGATATTATACTTACATAAACTGAAGCTTGGTGTTGGACGAAAACAATTCTGATGGTAAACTGCTTAAAATATTGGAACCCAAATTTCTGGAAAACATTTTGAATGGTTTGTGTTTGATTAGGGTCTATGAAACACTGATAACTTAACTAAGTACGAGCTCATAAGGCGATCATACTGTTTGTTTGAGATAAATTATTTCTCTGTTTTTTTATACTAGTAATCTGATTTATTTCAGATTTTTTCTCAAAATATACTATTTAAATGTAAGACCTTCTGCACTTCATGCTGTTTAAATACATTGAATTACTTTTAATCACAAACAAACAAGTTATTTTATAGCCTATTTCCCAACGGAATATAAATTCATTTGATCTAGAAAACACAAATACCTGAAAAAATATCAATGATTGATGGTGAAAAATAAGATATGTTTTAGTTGAAACAATTCATACTTAATCCACTTATCAATTTCGTACGATGAACATTATTTCACTTTTCATTTTAGAAATATTTGTTCGATGACAGAAGTAGATTTATCTACCAAAATAATCATTAACGTATGTACTACTGCTAAAAGAAAAATCTTTACATTTATATGCCGGAGATATAAAATTGTTGAAAGTGTTAAAACTTTTACTGTCAAAATTTGGAAACCTGAGTATAAAGAATAATAAATTTTAAAGCCAATCATGTATGAACATGATATATAAGTATTACCATTTTTACATTAAGATTTTTTTTAAGCAATATGACAAAAATAGACTGTGGTTGTCGTTTGTCGATGGAGTTCATAAATGTTTCTCGTTTTTTATATAGATTAGGCCGTTGGTTTTCCTGTTTGAATGGTTTTACACTAGTCATTTGTGGGGCGCTTTATAGCTTGCTGTTCGATGTGAGCCATGGCTCCGTGTTGAAGACCGTACTTTGACCTATAATGGTTTACTTTTACACATTGTGATGACTTGGAAGGAAATTTGTCTCATTGGCACCCATACCACATCTTCTTATATCTATGAAAAAGAATAACAAAATTTATCTAGAGGTCACTTTATCTGAGGGAGTTGGAACCTACACATCTAAATAATTTCTAATAATTAACAATAAGGAATATGAAAATAAAAAGTTATAAATACTATCAAAGCTCTAACTCCTGAGCTGATGATACTTTTGATAAAAATGAAGGTAATATGTAGAAACATTGATTGTATTAAGGGACCCACACACTGAGGCTCATCTTTAAACTTGCTAATTATCTTAGTCACAATCCAAAAACATAGCATCTGAATTAGACACATTGTTCGAATTCCAAGCGAACTAGTATTTTGTATAATTCCGTGATACAACTTTTGTGACGGAGAAACAGATAAATAACTCCGGTATAAGATGACTCAATCTGTGACAAAATAGACGACATCTTGCATTTGAGGTGAGAATGAGAATAGCGAATCACAAACTTCAATTGATGCTATACTAAAAAGTAATTAAAAGTTACATATGCAGTTATAGTTATACAGTAAACTTACATAAACACCAGGTTTATGTTTGAGGAAAATAATTCTGCTGGTAAACTGCTTAAAGCATTGTTCAAAAGATATCTGGAAAAAAATAAAAATGATTTCTTTTAAAATAAGTTCATCTCAGTTTTTACAATTCATACAAAATAACATGTAAGGCGATCTTAGTAATCATAATGAAAAATAACTCCTCTCGTTAGAAATTTTTTGACGATAGGATTGGTTTTTTTTTAATCGTCATCTTTCGGAAATTCCTTATCTTTTGAGACCTAAAAGACCTGAAAGAGATAATGTTTAATGTAAAATGGTAACAATTCAAGGGTGCTACTTTTAGAACCGTCTATGTTCCAAAAAGTCTCCTTTCATGTTAAGTTGTATGTTCAAAAATAAATTATAAAAAACCCCATTTGAAGATTTGTGTTGATGTTAAACATGCAGTTAAGGTAACAGATATGTAGATGGGCATTTTCATGGATTTTTATGATACTTTCTACAATACTTTTTGAAATCATATTAAGAGGTTACATTGATATTATACTTACATAGACTGAAGCTTGGTGTTGGACGAAAACAATTCTGGTGGTAAACTGCTTAAAATATTGGAACCCAAATTTCTGGAAAACATTTTGAATGGTTTGTGTTTGATTAGGGTCTATGAAACGCTGATAACTTAACTAAGTACGAGCTCATTAGGCGATCATACTGTTTGTTTGAGATAAATTATTTCTCTGTTTTTTAATACTAGTAATCTGATTTATTTCAGATTTTTTCTCAAAATATACTATTTAAATGTAAGACCTTCTGCACTTCATGCTGTTTAAATACATTGAATTACTTTTAATCACAAACAAACAAGTTATTTAATAGCCTATTTCCCAACGGAATATAAATTCATTTGATCTAGAAAACTCAAATACCTGAAAAAATATCAATGATTGACGGTGAAAAATAAGATATGATTTAGTTGAAACAATTCATACTTAATCCACTTATCAATTTCGTAGGATGAACATTATTTCACTTTTCATTTTAGAAATATTTGTTCGATGACAGAAGTAGATTTATCTACCAAAATAATCATTAACGTATGTACCACTGCTAAAAGAAAAATCTTTACATTTATATGCCGGAGATATAAAATTGTTGAAAGTGTTAAAACTTTTACTGTCAAAATGTGGAAACCTGAGTATAAAGCATAATAAATTTTAAAGCCAATCATGTATGAACATGATATATAAGTATTACCATTTTTACATTAAGATTTTTTTTAAGCAATATGACAAAAATAGACTGTGGTTGTCGTTTGTTGATGGGGTTCATAAATGTTTCTCGTTTCTCGTTTTTTATATAGATTAGGCCGTTGGTTTTCCTGTTTGAATGGTTTTACACTAGTCATTTTACGGGCTCTTTATAGCTTGCTGTTCGGTGTGAGCCAAGGCTCCGTGTTGATGACCGTACTTTGACCAATAATGGTTTACTTTTACAAATTGTGGTAACTTGGAAGGAAATTTGTCTCATTAGCACTCATACCACATCTTCTTAAATCTATGAAAAAGAATTAAAAAAGTTATCTAGAGGTCACTTTACCTGAGGGATTTGGAGCATACACATCCAAATAATTTCTAAATTTTAACAATAGGGAATCTAAACATAAAACAAGATAAATACTATCAAAGATCTAACTGCTGAGCTGATGATACTCTTGATGATAATGATTGATTGATTGTTGGTGTTTTAATGCCACATTTAAGCGCTACTTTTGGGCTATTTCGTGGCGGTCAGTTTTTTTTATGGTAGAAGGAAGCTGGAGTGCCCGGAGAAAACCACCGACCTTCGATAGGAAAACTGACAATTCTAGTCAATTAAGATTGGAGTCGAGTGTACCCGCACGAGCGGGATTCGTACTCACAACCTTAGTGTTGACTGGCTGGTGATTACAGTAGTGAAACCACTTAGACCACTTGGCCACGAGGCCCCTCTTGATTATAATAAAGGTAATATGTAGAAACATTGATTGTATTACAGGACCGACTAACTGAGGCTCATCTTTATACTTGCTAGCTTTCTTAGTCACAATCCAAAGACTTATCATCTCAATCAGACACATTGTTCTTATTCCAAACTAACTAGTATTTAGTATAATTCCGTATTACGACTTTTGTGGCAGACAAACAGCTTAATCAATTATAATTCCCATATAAGATGTCTCCGTCTGGGACAAAAAAAGACGAAATATGTCACTTGAGGTGAGCACGAAATTAGTGAATAACAAATTTCATTTGAAGCTATACTAAAAATTAAATAGAGTTAAGTATACAGTAAACTTAAATAGACTCCAGGTTTATGTTTGTGGAAAACAACTCTACTGGTAAGCTGCTTAAAACATTGTCAAAAAGAAGTCTGGAAAAAAAATGATTTGTTTTAAAATAAGTTCATTTCAATTCTAACAAATTGTAAAATTCAACGTGTAAGGCGATCTTAGTAATTAAAATGAAAAATAACTCCTCTCGTTATAAATTGTTTGATGATAGGAACGTTTTTTTTTAAATCATCATCTTTTGGAAATTCCTTATTCATTGAGACCTAAAAGACCTGAAAGAGATAATGTTTAATGTAAAATGGTAACAATTCAAGGGTGCTACTTTTAGAACCGTCTATGTTCCAAAAAGTCTCCTTTCATGTTAAGTTGTATGTTCAAAAATAAATTATAAAAAACCCCATTTGAAGATTTGTGTTGATGTTAAACATGCAGTTAAGGTAACAGATATGTAGATGGGCATTTTCATGGATTTTTATGATACTTTCTACAATACTTTTTGAAATCATATTAAGAGGTTACATTGATATTATACTTACATAGACTGAAGCTTGGTGTTGGACGAAAACAATTCTGGTGGTAAACTGCTTAAAATATTGGAACCCAAATTTCTGGAAAACATTTTGAATGGTTTGTGTTTGATTAGGGTCTATGAAACACTGATAACTTAACTAAGTACGAGCTCATTAGGCGACCATACTGTTTGTTTGAGATAAATTATTTCTCTGTTTTTTTATACTAGTAATCTGATTTATTTCAGATTTTTTCTCAAAGTATACTATTTAAATGTAAGACCTTCTGCACTTTATGCTGTTTAAATACATTGAATTACTTTTAATCACAAACGAACAAGTTATTTAATAGCCTATTTCCCAACGGAATATAAATTCATTTGATCTAGAAAACTCAAATACCTAAAAAAAATATCAATGATTGATGGTGAAAAATAAGATATGTTTTAGTTGAAACAATTCATATTTAATCCACTTATCAATTTCGTACGATGAACATTATTTCACTTTTCATTTTAGAAATATTTGTTCGATGCCAGAAGTAGATTTATCTACCAAATTGATCATTAACGTATGTACTACAATAAGTTCATCTCAGTTTTAACAGTTCATACAAATCAACGTGTAAGGTGGTCTTAGTAATTATAATGAAAAATAATTTCTCTCGTTAGAAAATGTTTGGTGATAGGAATGTTTTTTTTAAATCATCATCTTTTTTAAAATTCCGTTACAGATAATGCATATTTTAAGGTCTTTCTTGTGGTTTAACACACCGAGGGGTGTCAGGATTGATCAAATGAAAGACCGACCGGAGTGTTGTCTTTCTTTGGGCAATCCTGACACCCCGAGGTGTGTTATACGACAAGAAAAACCTTAAAATATTCATTATCTGACTTATATACCGTAAAAAAATATTATTTTCTGCAAAGATTTGCAAGATTTCCATCATATTTACCGACCACACTAAAGTGGGATATTCTTTTCTGATCTGTACTGGTTTTAATACGCCCTACGGCTCATTTGAAACGTGAAATAAAACTCACTAATTAATCTAGATATAAGCTATAGCATTCATTATCCAGTTAAAAAAGAAGTATCACTAAATGCATGAAGCAAAACACAAATGAATTGTTACGGTGTATGAAAAATACAAGTCACTTTGTAAGTAATTTATTTTCAACTTATTTTAAGAAAAGGGGATGCTATGTTTTTTTCTATTTTTTCGTGACATTTTCATCGCGAAAAAGCAGATTATTTTTCAACAGTTTTTAACGAGCTGTTCAGAATTATTGTTTTCACTTTCGAATGACATTTTTTTAAACAGAGAACTTAATCAGAATTAAATATCATACCCCCCCCCCCCAAAAAAAAAACTATCATAAAGCACGTGGCTGTTATTCTATAGAAATTAAAATATCTGGTCATTTGATCATTTGATAGAGTAAAAGGTATAGGTTCCTATAGATGTAATAAATTCAGAAGTGACACGAATAGAGCACGAAATACTGATACATGTACATATAACACGAAAAACGAATATCCATAGGTCAATGTATGATTTCCAATACAGTGTGACTCAATACGATATTCAAAATCCTACACATGAATTTGTTAAATCTGGTTTGTTTTATTAGTGTTATGAAGGGTTTTGCATTATCAAGTTCATCTCAAATATTGTCCCTTTATTGTAGCGATAAATTAACAAAATTTCACATTTTTTGTTTCGGAAGTTAAAATGTGCGTCCACGACTTTTTTTGTGTAATTCAGTCTAAACCCAGATGACAGGATTGTTTATGTCTTTATCCATAGCACGCGATACTATCAAACGAATTAAATGTTTAAGTAAATTATAGTTTGCATTTTAATCAAGGAAAATAATGACCTTACACAAGTCATTATTTTCTGCCTTGAAGCAAATTTCATTGAAACTTGGTATCGTCCGGGTTGATTCTTCAAAAGAAAGACCTGACGTTCTGAAATAAAATAACTCCACATAGGTATATAATTATCTATTTAGAACTAAAAGACCTGAAAGAGATTATGTGTAATGTAAAATTGTAAATATTTAAAAATGCTACTTTTAGAACCATCTATGTTAGAAAAAAGTTTTCTTCATATTAAGTTGTATGTTCAAAAATAGTATAAAAAAATCCATTTGAAGTTTATGTTGATGTTTAACCTGCAGTTAATTTACATATAATCAATGGTTTGTGTTTGATATATTAATTAATTGTTGGTGTTTTAAGGCCACTTTTGGGCTGTTTCGTGGCGGCCAGTTTTTATTGGTGGAGGAAGCCGGAGTGCCGGTTCGTGTTTGATGAAAACAACTCTGGTGGTAAACTGCTTAGAGTATTGCTAAGTAAAAATCTGGAAAATATATAAATTTGTACGACTTTGCCCCCAGCAGAGCTATAGAAAAACAGTACATTAACGGGTGTTACACGGACACTTTTTAGATGATACACGGACACTTTTTAGTTGTTACACGGACACTTTTTATGAATAGAATCACTCGTGCATGATCAGTGAGTTCATGGGCTCTTTAAATTTCAATTAGATTTGAACTTTTTGTTTCACCGACATATTTCTTGTCTTTTTCATTAAAATATTTACGTTGGCTTCAATAACTATATTTTTTTCAAACAATTCCAGTATATTACTATTCATATCAGTACACTAAGGGATTGACCATTTAACTTCAAAAGGGGAGTTATGTTTTTTCCTAAAAAAATATTCTGATCCCCAATTTTATGAGAAAAAAATATATTGTGGTCAATCAGATGACAAAATAATGTTCTGATTCCTGATTTTGCGAATACCGTATATAAAAGTGCTAATTTCGAAAAAAAATATTTGGGTGATAGCGTTGATAAACTAAATCATTTTCTTACTCAGAAAAAAAAACATACCCCCCTTTTGTAGCTAAAGGTCGGTCCGTAAATGTATTTATTTTTTCAATAAATGGACATGAATAGTATTCTGGACAATGCTGAAAGTAAAGAAATGCTGATACCGACGTTTATATTTCAATAAAAAAGACAGGAAATATATATAAAAAAATCAAATCTAATCAAAAGATAAAATCCCTTTCAACTCACCAATGCACGATTGATCCTATAAATAAAAAGTGTCCGTGTAATACATGTTCAAATAGGCAGCAAATCTTGATGAAAATCATTCAACTTATGTCACCAATTTTGGACGGTAAGCTGCGATTGGATCATATTGTGACACGTGTTTGATCCTGACCAGCACTATTAGAGACATATATAAAAACATATAAGCATAATTTTTTTTTAAAAAATCCAAAATATATGCCTATATTGGTGATTTTAACAAGACAAAATCGATTTTTTCGTACCATTTCATTCACTAATGAAATAGGAAATTCATTCTTTTTATATTGTTATTGAATTTATATATTTGGGAGCAAACTTACGATTTTTATTATTTTTTTAAGGCGGAATGGGGGAATGGAATGACACATCCTGCATGTTTTCAACAAAAAAGAATCAAGCCTGTTTATTTTAAATTTATATTAACCCCCAGACCCCCTTTCCGTTTTCCCCCAAATAAAAATCAAATGTTAGCTTGCTTACCTCTGAAATCTTTTTCATACATTACTTACTTGCGAAGATGCATTTTTAAAAGTCTCAAATGTGTACGACATTCATCTTTTACTTCACATGGTTCTTTTTTATGAAATTATTAGATTCTTGAATTTCTTTAGAAAAAACTATAGGATGAAGGGAATTGAAAAAAAAGTGTGTTTAAACTGTCTTACTGTAACTTACATTCACTGGTATATGGCCATTTAAGTTTCGAATCTGTTAAATTTTGCTACCTCTTCTACATGCAAAATGTACTACTTCTTTCTTGAAACGTCGTACAAGTCAGATACAAAACAAAGGTAACAAAAAACAGGCCGGAAACAAACTGCCGAATAGTTTTTCTGCACTCGTAGTCAGGTCAAGGTCCTCGGCTATCGCCTCGGACCTTCACCTGACTACTCGTGCAGAAAAACTATCCGGCAACGCTTGTTACCGGCCTGTTTCTTTGTTACCTTTGTATTGTATCTAATACGATTTGAGTTAAATCAGTTCATCTGATTCTTAACAATTCATACTTACTCAACGTGTAAGACTATCTTAATATTCATAATGAATAATCACTCTTATAAATCGACGAACTATTGCCCTTAAAGTGTGCAGGCGATAATGACACCAAAAATGATATTTTAAAATGGTTTACTGCTTAAAATATCAAAATCTTAATTTTTGCGAGTGTTGATGTAGAAGGTTCTTTCTTAGTTTACTTATGAGAGTAATGAGAACTAACAATTTAATACCATACACTCTTGTACGATATCAAACTGTTTATTATCAATCTATTTATTTATCAAAACTTGAAATAATGGTTGAATGTAAAGATGGAATTTTTTAATTGAAATCCTTATGTTCTACATATGCCGTAGGGCGTATTAAAACATGAACAAATCAGAAAGAATATCCTTATGGTCGGTAAAATAGGATGCTAAATCTACAAATCTTTGTATAAACTACTATTTTTTTTACTGTATATAAGTTCTTCTCTGGGTGTCAGGATTGCCCAAAGAAAGACTTCCCTCCGGTCAGTCTTTCATTTGATCATCTCTGACACACCTCGGTGTGTTCTACGACTAGGAAAAACATTGAATTATGCATTATATATAACTGATTTCATTTCGAAAAAAAAAATGTATTTTTTAACCTGTGCTTGATCTTAAATATAAATTTAAGTTACACTTTCGCAAGGTTTTTGTTTGTTATAAACAGCAAAAAGCCAATTGTTAAGAGCAAAAGTTATTGTTACCTAAGGGTTTCAAAAAAAACTTTTTTTAGAAAGTGTTTTGGGGAAATATCTTGATCTACGTTTCTATGTGTTGAATACAAATATGTTATTCCTAAATCAGTCTTTGTCAATCAAAACTCTCTTTCTTCAGTGTTATTTAAGATTTGAATGCATCTTTCTTTAATTGTATTGGGGTGGAAAATTGTTGATTGTCGCCTTTTTTGTGTGAGGCGCGGAAGCTACAAACAAAGAAATACAAGATATTTCAAACTTTCTGTT